ATAATGAAATATACTATTATACAAGAGGGAAACTGATCATTATAAATATTATAAGTAATTATTTAAATGTAAACACATTTAGGCATTGATTACTTAAATTGTTATGAATTTATTATTGCTTTGCTGATTAAACTGAACAAAGTGGCTTCACATATGCAATCTATTTGCAAAGTTATATTGTAATTTTTATAAATATTTAAGTATTCATAAAAAATTGATAATGTTCTAAAGTTCTGCATAAATTCACTCTGCAGTCTTGTTTAGTGATAATGCAAATAGATGCTTATGATTTTTAAAGCATCAGATTTCATCTTAGAAGCTGGAACTGGCAAAATGCTTTCCCCAGAGAAATCTTATTTGTGATGATAAGCTTGCATTTTACCTAATGAGAACATAATGTTCCAATTTCCCTTAAAGTATTACTTTGGCACCAAATTTTGTCATAACAAAAAATATTTATTGGTGTGCATTATTGCAATTCTGCCTTGAATATATAATAGAACAGTCACACAGTAGAAAGAAGTAACACACAAAAGCTAATCACAGTAACTTGTTGCAAATGAATGTCTGGCTTACTAATTTTTCTAGGTAAGCAAGAAATAACCCTAGATGGAAACTTATATCTATCTATTGAGAAAGTATACATTATTCTTTTGGGAGCTGTAATGTCTTTAATTGTAAACCTCAATTATCATTATTCTGTAATTCAAGATAAACACCAGTGCAAGACACTGGCTGGGAGTTGTATCATTTTTGGAACATACTCAAAGAATTGCTTTTCTTCTTATAAATACATGATAAGACTTATTATTGTCTTTTTCTCTTAAAATCAGGGAGCAGAAGAAATTTGCTGAAATGGAATCAGAATGAAACAGACTATATTTTAAAATAGTAAGAGATGATTAATAAAGACTGTGTACCAATAGAAATTCCCTGGCTAAGAAACAGAACCCAATATAAGAAAAGTACTTTTAATTTTCATCCAACTAAATTAACAAAATCTTGCTGAAACTTAGAATCAGAATTAGCCTTTGCTTCCCTAATTCGGGTTATTTACTTACGATTTAGCATGGATTCCAACTTTCCTACACTACTGCCATAGTATCTTGTTCCAGTAAACTTTATCTTGTCAAGCAACAGCCTACTTTTGCTAAGAATAAAATGAAATAAAACTTCTGTTCAGACTGAAGGGTTTTATTTCAGAGGGGTGTTAGAAGGAAACATACAGTAATGAAATCACTGACAGATAGAATTACTATCTCTTAACAAGTGAAAAGTATTGCCACTGCAGGTAGGAGGCTGCAGTTTGAATTTTACATCCACCCCTTTCTAGCTGTGTGACCTTAGGCAAGTTATTTACCTTCTGCGTGCCTCAGTTTCCTTACCTGGAAAACAGAGATAATAATAGTGCCCACCTCAGAGGATCAGCCTGAGGATTAAAGCAAGTAAATTTATGCCCAGCAATCAGGGCAGGACCTGGCATATGGTGAGGACTGTGTACGTGCTTTCTGTTTTTATTTAGGTAATCAGGTTATCATTAAATAAGTTGGTTTTTCTCAATCTTAAGATTGTTACTGGTGCAGAGGGCAGAAGTCACTTACCAATCATCAATCCTGTTGTATCTAGTAATGTTTCAGAATTTTCTCAGAAATACAAATCCTAAGGGAAAACAGGCAGAGTCTCTCTTCTCTCTGTTGATTTACAAGTAATGGTAATAACAGCTAATGTTGAATAGTGTTTACTATGTGCATATACTAGTCTAAGCACAATGTATATCATTTAATTTAGTTTATCGTATCTCCTTGAGGTATATGCAATTATTATTTCCATCTTCAAGTAGAGGAAATGAAATCTAGAAGAAACGTAATGATTGGCTGGGTGTGGTGGCTCACGCCTGTAATCCCAGCACTTTGGGAGGCCAAGACGGGCAGATAACCTGAGGTCAGGAGTTTGAGACCAGCCTGACCAACATGGAGAAACCTGTCTACTAAAAATACAAAATTAGTTGGACATGGTGGCACATGCCTGTAATCCCAGCTACTTGGGAGGCTGAGGCAGGAGTATCACTTGAACCCAGGAGACAGAGGTTGCAGTCAGCCGAGATCTTGTCATTGCACCCTAGCCTGGGCGACAAGGATGAAACTCTGTCTCAAAAAAAAAAAAAAAAAAAAAAAAAAGTAATGATTTAGAGAGTCATGGGGTCTAACTCCAGAACTAATGCTCCTAGCCCTGACTGCCATGACCATGCATTGTCTTCTTTGCTTTGCCTTTTGGTTTATGCAGAGTGATTTTACTGCAGGGAAGATACTTAGTGGCCTCAGAGGTGTTTCCTTATCATAATGGTGATACTCATTTTATAGCAACGGGCAATAGAATGCTTAACCACTAGGATGCCATTGACAGTCACTTCAGGAGAGTTTGGGTGCAGAAGTAGTGCCCACTCCTCACTTCAGACACAGGGCTCAGCTACTTGCCCTGCTTGGCAACATGTTGCAACCCCTAAACCTCAGAGCCCGGGCAAGTTTGGGTGGGGGGACCACAGGAAATAGCAGAAGGAGCTGGGAGTGTGGGGAGATGGACATTCAAGCTAATATTCCTGCTAAAAGGACAGAAAAAAATTGAGAGGAGGGGTTCAAGGTGAAAAACCATGAAACAAAACTTTTTTGTGGCTGATCTGGTGACCGTAATTCCCCTCTTATCTGGTAGTTGTATTAGTCAGGATTCTCCAGAGAGACAGAACCAATAGGTGGGAAATAGAAAGACAGATAGATACCTAGATACATAGACAGACAGAGAAAGACATAGGTATATGAGAGGTGATGTATTAGGGGAGCTGGCTCACATGATTATGGAGGCAGTGAAGTCCCGCAACAGGCTGTCTGAAAGCTGGAGACCCTGGGATGTGGCAGTGTGGCTCAGTCCAAGTACAAAAGCCTCAGAAACAGGAAAGCCAATGTCATTCTCAGTCAGAGGCCACAGGCCTGAGAACCGAGAGAGCCACTGAAGTCCTGGAGTCTCAAGGTCAGAAACAGCCTGGAGTTCTGAGGTCCAAGGGCAAGAGGAGGAGACTGTCCCTACTCCAGGAGAGTTTTCTTGTTCTCTCCAGACCCTCAGCCATATGATGGTGCCCAACCTTGCTGCAAGCAGCTCTTCTCCACTCAGCCACCTACTCATAAGACAGTCTCCTCTGGAAACACCCTCACAGACACACTCATAAGCAATGCTTTACCCATTCTCTAGGTGTTCTTTAATTCAGTCGACACCTGAAATTGTACCGTCACGAATCCACCCCTTGTCAATGTGGCGCCTATATGCATCTCCCTAAGCCATACTTAATCTCCAAAATTAATGCAACAACAGGCTGGGCACAGTGGCTCATGCCTGTAATCTCAGCACTTTGGGAGGCCAAGACTTGGGGATCACCTGAAGTCGGGAGTTCAAGACTAGCCTGACCAACATGGAGAAACCCCATCTCTACTAAAAATACAAAACTAGCCGGGTGTGGTGGTGCATGCCTGTAATCCCAGCTACTCAGGAGGCCGAGGCAGGAGAATCACTTGAACCTCGGAAGCAGAGGTTGCAGTGAGCCGAGATTGCGCCATTTCACTCCAGCCTGGGCAAAGAGAAAGACTCCATCTCAAAAAATAAAAATAAACAAATGCAACAACAAGGTAATGGTTCTGCCAGATGTAATATTACTATCCTGCCAATAACAGAAAATGCACTAATCCCTTCTCCAAAAGAAGAGGTAAAGATCTTGGATGATGTTTACTCTTTTCCTGATATCTCATGATTTAAAAAGTCAGTGTATCTTATGTTACCTATAAAGGAATAAGAAGGGAATGAAAATGAAGATAAATTTCCTTAATATATGTATATATGCCTACATATTCTTAACGAAATAGAAAGTACTCATGACAATTATAATTTCTGCCACTGGTCACGTGATCATAGCTGGTGTCTATAACTACCTTCTTCTACTACCCGTTAAGTAACTAACCCCTTTGCCTCCAGCAAGCACCTCAGCCAGTCATAGTTCTTTACCTGTCGAGATGACCCAAACCTTCATTCCTGCTGTGCCATTCATAGTACTGCTTGGATTCGGTGTTGTGGTTTTCCTTTGATCTTACTCACAGGGCATGATAATATACTAAGAGACTCTCTAAAGGATGTTCTGTACTCTGGACATACTCTTCCTTAGCTCCATTGTGGGGCAGGAGTCCAGTTTCCCCATGGTAGTCTTGCTCTGTCTTGCCAGTCTGCACTGTAACTCCCTTCTTAGTCTGTTGCCTCAGAGACAGGAGGAGCTCATTCTCAACTTCCATGGCAATGGAATCATTGTCGTGTCTCTGAGTGGAAGCTCTTCCCTCCCTCTGGAACTAAGACCTCTATGCCAGCCAAGCATAATGTTGCAAGTGGGTCACTAGGGGTAATAGTGGGTGCAGGTATTCAAAAGGCACGATAAGCTGGGTGTGGTGGCTCACGTCTCTAATCGCAGCACTTTGGAGGTCAAGGCAAGTGGAGTTTGAGGTCAGGAGTTCAAGACCAGCCTGGCCAACATGGGGAAACCCTGTCTCTACTAAAATTACAGAAATTATCCAGGCATAGTGGTGTGTGCCTGTGGTCCCAGCTACTTGCGAGGCTAAGGCAGGATAATTGCTTGACCTGGGAGACCAAGGTTGTAGTGAGCTGAGATTGTACCACTGCACCCCAGCCTGGGCAACAGAGCAAGACTGAATCTCAAAAAAAATAAAAATAAAAATGGCATATTAAGTCAGGGATGGGTAAATCCCAGAGCATGCATCGTGGCTCCTGTTGGGAACTGCCTATCTGGTTCCTGCAGTAAGAGTCAAATTTCCTAATATACAGTATAAGTATCTCGGTCACCGTGTTGAACACTGAGTGTGAAAAATTTATGTGACCCAGGAACTGATAATTTCTACTAGCATTCACTTTGATGCATAGATTTTTGTTTTCTACTTTTTTTTTTTTTTTGACAGGTTCCTGGGCAGATAGATCACCACTACATGAAGCAGCAAGTCAAGGTCGCCTTCTTGCTCTGAGAACATTACTATCACAGGTAATATATTACACATTGTTTAAAATATGCCCGTTTCCATGTTCATGGAACATGGTCAAAACAAATCAATCCGAATATAATAAAATTACTTAAATTTTACTTCTGTCCTTTTAATGCATATTAGAGAAGGCAATAGCTTCTAATTTGTCTTTGAAAATTCTTTTCTTGCCGGGCACGGTGGCTCAAGCCTGTAATCCCAGCACTTTGGGAGGCCGAGGCGGGTGGATCACGAGGTCGAGAGATCGAGACCATCCTGGTCAACATGGTGAAACCCCGTCTCTACTAAAAATACAAAAAACTAGCTGGGCATGGTGGCGCGTGCCTGTAATCCCAGCTACTCAGGAGGCTGAGGCAGGAGAATTGCCTGAGCCCAGGAGGTGGAGGTTACGGTGAGCCGAGATCGCGCCATTGCACTCCAGCCTGGGTAACAAGAGCGAAACTCCGTCTCAAAAAAAAAAAAAAAAAAAAAAGAAAAAAGAAAATTCTTTTCTAAATATGTTGATATAATTATATGTCTTAGTATTTCAAATTTCTCAGAGAGCATATTTGTTCATAGATAGACTTTTAAGGAAGTAATGATTGGGTTTATATATTATTGATTAAGCTTTCTAAATATGCTTAACTCTGTATAGTATGTGCAGCTAATTACAGACTTAGTTCAGTAATGAAATATCCAAAAAGAAGTCATCACAGCAGATGCCAAAGCAATCTTTTTTTACATTATGGTGATCTGTAATATGCTCCAGGAAATTGCCTAACAAGGCTATAGGACAATCATTTCTATACTTGCCTGCTCATCAGATTCACCAGAGGAAAAATGCAAAACACAAATCCTTATTGTAACAGAAAGCTTGGAATTTTTTTTAAGCTTCTGATGTAATTCAAATGCACATCCAGACTGGGCGTGGTGGCTCATGCCTGTAATCCCAGCACTTTGGGAGGCCAAGGCAGGCGGATCACCTGAGGTCAGGAGTTCGAGACCAGCCTGGCCAACATGGTGAAACCTTGTCTCTACTAAAAATGCAAAAATTAGCCAGGCATAGTGGCTTACGCCTATAGTTCCAGCTACTCAGGAGTCTGAGGCAGGAGAATCAATTGAACCCAAGAGTTGCAGTGAGCCAAGTTCACACCACTGCATTCCAGCCTGGGCAACAGAGCAAGGCTCTATCTCAAAAAAATAAAAATAAAAATAAAAATAAAATGCACACCCAGATCTGGAAGTCATGCGCTACTGTTTCCCAGTCTCAAGGGGAAACATTCTCAGATGACTACGAAGAAAGGAAAGGTGGTGTTGCCCTGTTTAAACAGCACTGCCTGGGTCTCAAGACCTGGATCTTAGGCTGGCACTTGAGGTGAACCACAACGTACCTGAGCTTCCTAGTCTCATGTAGAATGGAGATGTAGGATGACACACTTTTTTAGGGACTTCCAGTTCTGTGATAACCATGTGACTATTTTGTTTTGTTCATCACTCAATGGGAGGAAAATAAACACTGAAAAGGGGTCAACAATTTCTAAAGGACAATTCCTCAGACGGGTCCATGTTGTTTTTTGAAGAAGAGCAGTCTTAGGATATGTTTCAGTGTGTGTCCCTAATCCACTGACAGTTCAGCCAAGACGCACGTGAGGCTGTCCCCAGAGCCTGATGTGAAAGGGCATCTTGGCCTTCTCAGGTGCTTCCATCATCTGGTCCCCTCGAGTGTGTGGCAGTGTGGGATTAGCTCCCCACGTCTGACTGCTGGCTGGCCAACTTGAAAGTGTCTGAAAGGATTATCTGTTTTTCTTGCCTTCATTTAAAAATTCTTCATGTCTATATTGGTATTACAGATTTTGGTGATCTGTAATATGTTATGAGGATTTGGCTTTGAAGTTCTTCCTATTACAATGCTTAGTATGATTGTCAATAGACAAGGAAATACGAAAGATATCCAGAAGGTAAACAATCTCATATCCTAATAGTATGTAGTTATTTTAGTGTGATATTTTGAGTTTGATTGGAATACAGTGAAAAAGTGTTTACTTAGTTTTGATTAAATAATTACAAAAAATAATGTTTTCATATGCTGGGCATTGTAATAATAATAGCTTTACATGGATCATCTCATTTAATTTTCTTTTTTTTTCTTTTTTTGAGATAGAGTTTCGCTCTTGTTGCCCAGGCTGGAGTGCAATGGCACGATCTCGGCTCACAGCAACCTCTCCTTCCTGGGTTTAAGCAATTCTGCTGCCTCAGCCTCCTGTATACCTGGGATTACAGGCATACACCACCATGCCTGGCTAATTTTGTATTTTTAGTAGAGACAAGGTTTCTCCATGTTGGTCAGGCTGGTCTCAAACTCCTGACCTCAGGTGACCTGCCCATTCCGGCCTCCCCAAGTGCTGGAATTTCAGGCGTGCATCACCATGCCCAGCCCTCACTTAATTTTCATGATAGTCTTAAAATTTAGAGGCAAAGATAATTGTCCAAATTAAAACTATTCATGATGGAGCCATGCTTCAAACCCAAGTCTAATTGATTTTATAGTCAGAGTTCTTAACCACCAGCAGACAACTTTGTCATACCTATTTAGTGACAAAAATTCACAAAACTGTTTACCGTAGTATATTTTTCTCCAAATCTTGGCTGATCTGTAATTTTATAGCCTCAATGAAAACAAGTCTTTAGTTCTATAAAACAACAAAAAAAGAGTGTTTAGTTCTACAAAGCAAAGCACAAAAAAAGGACAAAAATATTAAGAAAGCAACATTTAAAGAAAACGTGCCAGAATCTATTGAACATAATATATTTAAGGCATTAGTAGGTTTAGACATGATGGTGCCACAATAATAGGGCTAAGGAGTCTGGACAACGGATTGACCCTATGGCATTTGAACGGCCTATCCTACTAAACTGGAAACCGGTTTGCCTGAGAGTCTTGGATCTCTAAATATATCACTCTCTAATGACATCAATAGAGATGATGTTTTAAATATATAACTCTTTGCTCACTTTTCAAAATTATGTCATATTTAGGGTTATAATGTAAATGCAGTAACCTTAGACCATGTCACCCCATTGCACGAAGCCTGCCTTGGAGATCATGTGGCATGTGCCAGAACTCTGCTGGAAGCAGGAGCTAATGTAAGTACCCTTTCAGAACATTAACAATTTACCGTCTACTGATGGAGAGAACCCGAAAAAGTTCTCATTTTACTTTTCTTTCCTTGATTCTCGGTAGTTTTCAAAAATAGCAGAATAAAAATAAAGCTCTTGAATTTCTTCGCCTTCTTATTGCACTCTAAAAAGGATTTCCAATCATTGCATAAATGGGTAGCATGCTGCATAATAATACAGACTATTCTTTAGGTTATTTTCTGCTTTCATGGCTCTAGATAGCAATCGATGAACATCTTTAGGTCTTTAACATTTGCCGATCTTTTGGATGATTTTCCTTAAATAAAGTCTCAGAAATAGAATTACCAATTTTACCACTTTAAGCTAGCAATGTGGCTTCATTACAACTTTATCATCATTCCACTTGTTTCTTCATTTTTATTCATACTGAAAAGTATCTAATCATTGAAATAGATCTTATTTGCTATTTGAGCATGCATTTTTTTCATGATTTCCACTAGTTGTATGCCCATTGCAATGAATTATCTGCCACATCACATCTCTCTGTTTTACAGTTTTTCTTATTAATGCGTAAGAACAAAGTATACTTTGTCGTATTTACTGTGCACATTTTCCCAAGTTTTTCTGTTAGCAGATCATATACCTTTTGAAAAGGCAGAACTAAATCAGTTAATCATGTATGACGTATGAATCTTATTTCTGGATGCTTTGGTTTGGTTTAGGTAAATGCAATCACAATAGATGGCGTGACTCCATTATTCAACGCATGCTCCCAAGGCAGTCCGAGCTGTGCAGAGCTGCTTCTGGAGTATGGCGCCAAAGCCCAGCTGGAGTCATGTCTTCCATCCCCCACGCATGAGGCTGCCAGTAAAGGTAACTTAGCCCTGGGATTAAGTGACAAGCGGAGAAAGTTTCTTTAGCAACCTGAAGTACTGTTTATCTTTCAACCAGTGACACCACAGGGGAAGCCTGGGGTGAGGTGTTTGGGGTGGATGGACATTAAGTCAAACTCCTCTCCTTTGTGTTGGCAGGTCACCATGAATGTCTTGACATCCTGATATCCTGGGGCATAGATGTTGACCAAGACATTCCTCATTTGGGAACTCCTCTCTATGTAGCTTGTATGGCACAGCAATTCCATTGCATCTGGAAGCTTCTCTATGCTGGTATTTTCCTTTAAAACATCTTTTGTCCTGTCCATACACACAAGCAGTTATTTACTTCTCTAAATGAGCTGCTTTCAAATTAAATCTCATTGCTAAAAAAAAGTTCTTATTGTGAGCATTTTCACACATGATTAGAGAACCAATAAAAAAGAACCTCATTCTTGATTAAGTTGCCTTCCTAGCTCACAGATAGATACATAATCTCTCTATTCCATGTGCACTGCATTAGCAGACATTTGGGTATGTAATGGAGTCTGAAAGCTCTACTTTGAGGTCACAAAATTAGGATCCTCAAGACTGAATATGATGTTGCCAAGAATGTATATATCTTGGAACAAATCCATCAAGAGATATTTTCAGGATAGTAACTGCTTGGACAACCTCATCTTCTGCTAACTTTAAAAACTCATGCACTTTTCTAGAGTTGGTACTGTCTGTCCTGCTTACTTGAAAAGACTCACTGCCCTTTTCCACTTACAGGAAACAAATCAATTCCTCAACGTTTGTTTCAAGTAAGTTAGTTTTAGTCCCCTGAAAAACATTTTTTTTTTCTTTTTTGAGATGGAGTCTTGCTCTGTCACCCAGGCTGGAATGCAGTGGTGCAATCTTGGCTCACTGCAACCTTCACGCCTCCCAGGATCCAGTGATTCTCCTGCCTTAGCCTCCCGAGTAGCTGGGACTACAGACATGCACCACCTCGCCTGGCTAATTTTTTTTTTTTTTTGTATTTTTAGTAGAGATGGGGTTTCACCATTGGTCAGGTTGGTCTTAAACTCCTGACCTTGTGATCCTACCCACCTCAGCCTCCCAAAGTGCTGGGATTACATCGCACCCAGACCCTGAAAAATGTTTCTAACCTATTGAGACCATAGTGGTCCCACTCACCACAGGACTGGGAGTCCCTTTAGGATTTGGATTATCACCTCTTTTCTCTGGCATGGTTCTTCTCTCTTATCCTCTCATGTTACATATGGTTAGAAGATACATAAAAGGAATAAATGAAGTTCTATGCTATTTATTGTTTATGAGAGTCATTTGATCCCTGATACATATTGATCTTTATTTTTAGTAAAGCCTTTATGCACTACTCACATTATCTTAGCTAACAGAGAAACTTCTTACAAGCAGGGTCTACATCTACTATTTCATTCTCATTACACCTAGTCAGTCTTAGACGTGAGTTCTGTTACTAGTCATTGACAGATAGTTATTTTCTGGCTATGTTCTCCCGTTATTTTTCATACGACCAATAGAATTTATGTTCTATTATAACAAGCTTGTCCAACCCACAGCCCATGGACCACATGCAGCCCATAATGTCTCTGAATACCTCCCAATACAAATTCATAAACTGTCTTAAAATATTACAAGGTCTTTTTGGATTTTATTTTTTAGCTCATCAGCTATCATGAGTGTTAGTGTATTGCATGTGTGGCTCAAGACAATTCTTCTTCTTCCATTGTGGCCAAGGGAAGCCAAAAGATTGAACGCCACTGCTTTAGAGTGTTTTCTTTGGTTTGCTAGGAATATTATTCTTTCCACCAAATGTTTTGTACTGGGCTTTAAAAACTATGGGCCTGTAATCCCAGCACTTTGGAAAGCCAAGGCAAGTGCATCACCTGAGGTCAGGAGTTTGAGACCAGCCAGTTATGGTGGCAGGCACCTGTAGTCTCAGCTACTTGGGAGGCTGAGGCAGGAGAATCACTTAAACCCAGAAGGCAGAGGTGACAGTGAGCCAAGAGTGTGCCACTGTTCTCCAGCCTGGGTGGCACAGTGAGATTCCATCTTAAAGTAAACAAATAAATAAATATGGAAAAGAACTGTTAGTAATTGTTGATTGATTGTTATTTATAGGCCCTTTTCTTCCATAAAATTGACATAACCCACAATGTTTATGCTTTCTCTATGGAAATTTTGCTACAGAATATAATTTTTTCCTAAACATTTTATATTTGTTTAAAAAATATTGAAAATGATTACATTTATTGAAATTTGAAAGGAGCAGAAGGGCCATAAAGGGACACTGAAAGTATACTGCCTCTTAAAGACATCATTCGTTTTACAGATAGTATCGGAAAACAGAGGTGAAAAGGACTCATGGATTTTTATTGGTAGACATTTCTGGTGTAACTATTTATGTACCAGAAGATGGGATGGTTATTTTTAACAGTACTAAACAGCATTTATTATTGCAAACACATTGAATAGCCACCATGTGCCAGGCTTTGCACTGGGATAAAGTAATATTCAATAGGTAATTTAACATGTAGGCTGTGTTTTAACATAAGCATTTTTTTTAAGTTTCATTTCATGCACATGTCATCAATGTTCCTTTAGATTTAAGAGGCTCGACATATTCATATACTTACTGACTTAAACTACATGAGTGAAAGGTGGCAGGAAAATCTCTATATATTTTACCTAAATAGCTCACACATTTATTAGTTTTCCAAGAAAACTAAAGACCTTTGTCGCCTTAAATACATGAAAAGAATAATGGCAATAAGCTCTTGAATAATTCTAAAAGCTATCACCCATGATGAAGATAAATATGAAATGAACTTAATTGCATTTTATAATATTAGTTAGTACGATTACTTTTGGGATCATTTAAAAGGATTTTATTATGATAGTTCAAGCATACAGAAAAGTAACAGAAAGTAACATAACAAACGTATGCATCTCTCCTATTCCTATGTACCCAGCTTATATATATATGTAAATATGAGGCATACGTGTGTATGTGGATACTGTATATATAATATATAAAGAAATAACTCACAACAAATAGAGTTGAAGTCCCCTTGGCAACCTTCCTCTATTGCCTTTCCTTTTCTATCCCCACTGAGGCAACTGACTTATTTAATAATTTTTATTTATATTTATCTTCACTCCCTATTACATGTAGGTGCTGATGTACAGAAAGGCAAGTATTGGGATACTCCATTACATGCTGCTGCTCAACAGTCCAGTACAGAAATTGTAAACTTACTGCTAGAATTTGGAGCAGATATCAACGCCAAAAATACAGAGCTTCTGCGACCTGTAGATGTAGCTACGTCTAGCAGTATGGTGGAAAGAATACTTCTTCAACATGAAGGTAAGAAAAATACATGTGGAAACGTACAAAAACAAAAATATTTTTGCCTAAGATGAAAGTGAGAGACTTTTTGTTGGCATAGAAAGCAACAATGGCATAAAATGTCGAACATTATTTGTGAAAGTAGATAATTGTTTAATAAAAAAAGATATGATGATTTTAATTTTCTCTTTTTATCTTACCTAAACTATGATATTCCTTTGGTTAAATACATTCTATTTGTTTTGGTGATGCATTATATGTAGTTCTGGTATAATATCTGCTGATTTACATTTGGAACATGCCTCATTTTATAAGGGCATGAACCTTCTATAACATATTATAGAAATGAAATTAGGAAACATTTTTACATTTAAGGCTTTTGTTCTAAAATAGGGTTTCTTAAGCCTGGTCCAGGGACTATAATATTTCTTTTAGTATAAATATTAAACCTAATTTTAAAATTTATTCTTTTAGTAAGTAACACTTCTCAGGACTTTTGATTTATATCTCCTTCAAAAAGCAGACTGTTTTTGAGGCTTTAAATGCAGCAATTATTTCTTAAGCCTGAGGATTATAATGGTTTAAAGAATGTATATGGAATATATCTCAATTATAATAAGAGCTCATGAACAAAAGCAATATAACTGCTTACGTAAATTTCCCTAGTATGGTGGTCATAACAGAAAACATTGTAGTTTTTATGATTTTGTCGTATGTGTCTTGCAACATAAAAATTAATTTCTATTTAATTAACAAGCACTTTCACGTCTTCCTGTAGCCACCCCAAGCTCTCTTTGCCAGCTCTGCCGACTCTGCATCAGACACTACATAGGAAGTCCAAGATTGCACCTTATCCCACAGCTCCAGCTGCCAACATTACTAAAGAATTTCTTACAGTATCGATAAAACAGTAAAATAATTCTAAATACCTTAAAAATCAAAATTTTTATTTCTTTTGCTTAAGGAATATTTCATATTAAAATATGCTAAAGACAGGGTAAAAGTGAGTATGAGATCACCCAGGGAGGCAGTAAAATATCAACTTTAATTTTAAGTATATTAGTTAGTACTATTGTTTTATAATATATACTGTCTTTGGATTATAGCATATTTATAATATCTATTTTTTGTTATTTCAATATATCCTCTTGTTGACTTAGAAAAAAAGTATCTTATGTTTTCTTTCAGATTGGAAAGAAAACTCTTAGTAAAGTTAGTCATATTATATTTTAAAAGGGCTATATTCTTCAACTAATGGGTTAACTTTTTAATTTTTGCTACTATAATTGGCTAACTTTTTATTGATATTTATATAAAATATGAGTATGGCTTAGAAAAGAGCATCTAATATGCTTTCTGAAACCAAGATGATGCTCATTCAGGAAATCCACTATGTTGAATGATGTCCACTGGTCATGAAAACGACCACTTCATAAAGATAAATTGCCTACGCCCTTACCCCCCTCACAGGACTCACAAGTCACTTCTGTTCTCCATAGTACATGGACCTGTTACCGAAAAGTGATAAAATGAAAGATCAATACTGCCCCCTCACCCTGAGATATTTAGAACACTACACACCTGGAAAGGCTATTTTAAGACCTCCTCCTTTTCAGGAGTAGCTCTTGATCATCTCTTATCAATGCTTTTACATACATATTACTCCAGCCTTCTTCCATTTCAGAAATTGTCAATATCTAGTGATACTTGGACTTAAGAAAATGAACTATATATCTAATTGACAAAGAGGCCCTGGATCACATTCTGAGGATCATCAAATCATTCTGCAGATATTAAAATAACGCAAGATAAAAAACTCAAATTGTGGAGCTTTTTTCTTGGGGGGTAAATAATTTTCTTTTTTTAAATTATACTTTAAGTTCTGGGGTACCTGTGCAGAATGTGCAGGTTTGTCACCTCGCTATACACATGCCATGGTGGTTTGCTGCATCCATCACCCCATCGTGTACATTAGGTATTTCTCATAATGCTATCCCTCCCCTAGTCCCCTACCCCCTGCTATTCCTCCCCTAGCCCCCAACAATAGCAAAGATTTGGAACCAACCCAAATGCCTATCAATAACAGATGATAAATTGTGGAGCTTTTAAAAAGTGGGTGAGATTTGGAGATCTTAAAAAATGTATATAGTGAACTTAATTGCACTGTTTCTAATTCTTTTTACTCAAAACAACGGTTTACAGTATACTGTATTTGCAAGTAATAGCAACAGACAGTATTGTATAAAAGAAGACACTACTGAGCTAGTCCTCTGCAAGGGTAAATACTATGTTTATTCTCTTCAGCTTTAACTATACTTGAGTGCAATAGAAAACATAATAAAATGTTATGCCTTTTTTGTAATTCAGGGTCTATTACGATTTTACAAATAAGATAATTAACATACAACTCTGCATAAAACAAAAACAGCTTTTGGTGAGTTATATAGTTTTATTAAGTTTCGATAAAGTAAATATTTGGACCACTATTTTCAACAGCCCTGGGCTTATTTTCTTGTGACTTCTTGGCTAACTTTCAGAGATTGTTTATGAGCCCAGATCACTAAGCTTGCATTTTGGCAGAAAAATAAAAAAATCAGGTGAGATTTAAAATGTTCGTTGAGATTTTCAAACGTAGAAATAAAGCTGTAGTGTATTCATTAAACAATGTTTTCTATGTGGATATGGCCCTTTAAATGTCTGTTTTATAGAATAGCTCAGTCTAACACATTGGTAATGGGTAATGTGCATTAAAATGGAGTTCTTATTACAGAATAATCTGGTTAAACAGATACTAAAGCTGCTTTTTGGTAAAAACAGGTTTCCACCAGTATTTTCCCTGAGCTAGAGGTGAAGTCTTAGACTGTAAGAGTAATGCAACACATCTGTCTTACTAGTCTTGATCCAGTAAGAGAAGTAACTATCAAACATGAAAATGGACACTTTACAATTTCAGTATATCTGTACCTTGTATCTTAGCTTGAGTATGATTGTCTTATCAAAGTAGTGTTCTAACTTAAATATATTGTATGTTTGTTATTATATTAAAGTGTGATTATTATTCATTGGAATAAAATGCTTTGTGTTTGTCTCATTATATTTTATAATGAAAGGTCATGGAGAATATGACTCAATTGCACTAATTTTTTTCACCACCAGTTTCCAAATCACTGAATTATGAGCATTAAGATAGAGTAGCACAGATTAAAAAATAGATACCTCAAAGGCCTTCTAATCCAAAACATATTTTATATATATGTGACATATAATACATATAATATGTGATATTTAATACATATACTATTAGATGTGATATTTAATACATATGATATACATTTATACATATTTTGTACACACATATATAAATACACATACACACACACACAAGTTCAAGGACAAAATTTCGCAAAGTAAAAAAACAACAAAAATAGTCACTATGCGACATAAGACTTAAGAAGTATAGTAAAACAGTTACTGCAGATAGACACTGTCGAAACAATTTTTTGGATTAAAAAGGTAACTTCTGTTATTTTTATAATCACAGCATATATTTGGTGTTTCTGAGAAAGTAAATAGATCCGTATCAGAAAATAAAGGCTTCCAGAGCAGAAAGCTTTCATTGTTCCATCACAGAACTGAGCTCAACTGACTGGTGATCCAACTATAAAACTACTTAAAAATTATCCTTTCCGTTGGATTATTCCCACTGTTTAACTTCGGTTTCTCTATTATTATTATTATCATTTATAATTTAGGTTATTTTAAGGTTAGCCCTTCCTCTTAAAAACCTGAGTGAACTTTCTCACATGTTCAAGATTGACGGAAAAATACAAAAATTATCCAGGTGTGGTCACACACACCTGTGGTCCCAGCTGCTCAAGAGGCTGAGGCAGGAGAATTTCTTGAACCTGGAAGGCGGAGGTTGCAGTGAGCCGAGATCATGCCACTGCACTCCAGCAGCCTGGGTGACAGAGTGAGACTCTATCTAAAAAATAAAAAATAAAAAAAGACACTTCAAATGGAAAAGCAGCTGTAATTGGAGTTACCTCCTGATTAAGTTTAGTAATCCGCACTCACTCATGAACAGGATGAAGGAAGTTCCTTAGATACCCTAGAAAGATGCAGGTGAGCTAGTGGTAGAGGAAACCTCACTCCAGGTACCAAGCAATATGACATTCAGCATCCAATCAGGAAAACGGAAGTAATTCCATGCATTCAACAGATTCAACAGCAAGAACTTTAACAGCTGATCTTGAACAAAATGAATATTAGAGGCACCAACGTCCTGCATGGTGGAAAACCCAAGTACAACTGTTGACTCCCTGAAAACATTAATAACCTGCTGTTGACTGGAAGTCTTACCAATAACATAAATATCAACATATATTTTGTGTGATATGTATTATCTACTGTATTCTTACAATAAAGCAATCTAGAGAAAATGTTATTAAGAAAACCATAAAATACGTTAACTATTCATTAACTGGAAGTGGATCATCAGAAAGGTCTACATCCTCGTCTTCACACTGAGTAGGCTGAGGAGAAGGAGGAAAAGGAGGGATTGGTCCTGCTGTCTTGGGGTCGGCAGAGGCGGAAGAAAATCCACATATCAGTGGACCCGTGCAGTTCCGAACCCTGTTGCTCAAACCCACAACAACTGTATAAGGAACTGGTTGTACTGAAGAGCCGAAAAACTAAAACAGGCCCATCAAATTAAGAGATAGACTCTTCAAGAAGCAATTACCACCCCCAGGGAAGAAATTGAGGTTATAAGAATTTAAGAGTTGGAGGCTTAAGCCTCAAGACTTAAGACTTCTGGGGAGGGGAGGTACACAGCTGCTGCCAATACTTCAGGAGCTCAGATGAGCGGTCCAAGAGTAAAATTGGATCTCACAGGAGGGCCACTTCTCGGTGGTTGCTAAAAAATCGGAGAGAGTACGACGAAACTTGCTCCAGCAGTATTAAACAGCTGGAGGCTGGAACCACCTGCCCCTGCCAGGTGAAGCTTTGTTGCCATGGTAACACAGGGGCTTGAACAGCAAGCAGAGAAACAGCAAATCCCTGCTCCCCACCTCCTGGCCGCTCTCTTGCTCCCTCTATTGGCAGAATTTACCATACACCCAGCAAAGGAGAAATTGAAGCAATGTTCCAACTCCAGTGTCACGCAACTGGGAACACAGAAGGGAGTGTTTCTAAAAGGGATGTATTTGCTTAACAATTGGCACATTGATTGCAGGAAGATTTCTAACTCCTTAGCAAAACTGTTTACAGTTAAGTCCCAATCTAGCCGGGCATGGTGGCTCATGGCTGTAATTGCTGCACTTTGGAAGGCTGAGGCTGGAAGATTGCTTGAGCCCACAAGCTTGAGACCTGTCTCTACAAAAAGTTAAAAAATTAGCTGATCATGTGGCTTGCACCTGTAGTCTCAGCTACTTGGGAGGCTGAGGTGAGAGGCTGAAGCAGGAGGTTCACTTGAGTCCAGGAGGTCAAGGCTGCAGTGAGCCGTAATCACGTCACTGTAGTCCCACCTGGGAATGGGCAATGACATGACTCTGTCTCAAAAATGAAAACAAATAAACCCCAATCTACAGCCCTAACCTAGTTCTCTGGCCATTATCATCCAAATCTTTGGTTGAGAATGTCTCTTCAGTTGATAATGCCTGAACACTTCCTCTAACCCTACTACGTTCTGTTGTTTCATAAAACTCATTAAAAAAAAAAACAAAAAACAAAAACAAAAAAACTCTCACATTTCTGTGCAATTGCTTCCATTAGTTATTCTATGTGAGAGTGCCCCTTTATCATCCAAATACGTTTCCAAGATCACCTTTCAAGCAATCATCTATGCTTACTGAACACTTTGTGCTGCACATAGTTTTAGGCTCTTTACATACTTCACTTATTTAATCTCCACAACTCTGTGGTGTATCCTATTTATTTCCATATTTTATAAATAAAAATGTTAAACAACTTACCCAAAGTCACATAGCTAATAAAAGGTAGTGTGAACCCAGAAACTCTGAGGCAGGTCTCAGTTGATTTAGAAAGTTTATTTTGACAAGGTTGAGGATGAGCACCCATGACAGCCTCAGGAAGTCCTGACATGTGCCCAAGGTAGTCAGAACAGTATGGTTTTATACATTTTAGGGATACGTGAGACATCAGTCAACATGTGTAAGACGAACATTGGTTTGGTCCAGGGAAAAAAAGGGATAACTCAAAGCAGGGAGGGGGATTCCAGCTCATAGGTAAATAAGAGACAAATGGTTCCATTGTTTTGAGTTTTCGATTAGCCTTTCCAAAGGAAACAATCAGATATACATTTATCTCAGTGAGCAGAGGGATGATTCTGAATAGAATAAGAGGCAGGTTTGCCCTAAATAGTTCCCAGCTTGACTTTTCCCTTTAGCTTAGTTATTTGAAGAGGCCCAAGATTTATTTTCCTTTCATATTCCCCTCTCCTTCTTTAAAAAATCTTTGGAGAAAGTATTTTGGAAGAAAATGGGCCTCAGGTCTCAGGTTTC